GCTGCTACCAGTCAGATTAAATAATTTACACTGCAAATAACAATAATTACAACTGCAATAAATAATGTTATGAGATTAAGGTTTTAAATGCATTTATGAATATACAAATAAGAAATGTTGAGGGAAAAAATGCATACTTTTCAACAAACTTCTCAATTGAACTACCAGTAAGTGGTGGTAACTCACTTAATGAGCGAGTATTGAGCCATTCATTCAACTGATCGAGTGTGTTATCATGCTGGTATCTTAAGGACTTTCGTGGACAGCTGACTCCTAGAGTTTCTGATATTCTTCATATTCTGTGTGGTGGTCAGATAAGTTTAAATAGATTTTTACCTTTTATGGGCATTTTACCTTTATAAAGCCATTTTTCTATAAGTGTGCATTATCTTTTGAGTCAAATTCTTACATTTAATCAGTGAATTAGAATAATAAGACATTTGGGCTGTTACCAAGCAAATGAAATCAGTATCAACAAAATTCATCTTTGCAATCCAGACATAAACTGCACCTGAATTGGCATTTAGATGTGCTTACACACTGTTTAATGCAGAACATGAAACAGTTGATTCATTCAGGAACGAAACACCGTCATGTTGCTCAGAGACGCAAAACAGCGCTTACCTCAGTGTGTTTCTTCTGAGTTTATGTCACGCTCATTTGTTCTGAAGTCTCGAGACAAACAGAGCGAGCCTCAGCGCGAGCTTGTATTCTGTATTCTGCTAATTTACTGAGATTCTCTCTGATGACGCAGTAATTTACCACGGGAAGAAAACATCTTCGGTCTGTCCAATGATTGTAAAGTCATTAGGTCCGTCAGACTGAAGATATTTTAGCGGTAATGAGACCAAAAACAATTAAGACCCATCGAATCCGAATTTAAGACATATTAAGACTTTTTAAGGCCTTATATTAGGAAAACGTTATTTAAGACATTTTAAGACTTTTTAAGGACCCGCGGACACCCTGATTAATATACGAAAACACTATTTCTAAATGTTCTTAGTTTAATTAGTTTTGGTTCTTAGTGTTCTTAGTTTTGGTCATTTTGCAAACAATGTTACTTTTGAATGTTCTCTGATCATTCTGAAACAAGTAGTGACATTTTTAAATGTTAGACAAACATCCAATTAAAACATTTCACAAAAAAAAAAAGGTTCCTTGAACGATATAGTTTTTGTGCTAACGCTTTGAGAATATTATAGACCAAATAACTTTGAAAAATACCAAATAAGCATTCTATTAATGTTTCTGGAAGAATGTTTGACTTTCATCATAACTTTAAGAAAACCTTTCCAGAGCAACAGCCAAAGTACTGAAAACATTGCACTCACAATAAAAAAAGAAATAAAAAAAGTCCACTCAATTCAGCTTTTGACCAAGAATTCCATTGGTCAGAAACTGTGGCATCCCTGTGAATTATAGATATGTTATTTTTATATTACAATAATCAGCGCAAACTGCATTCACTCAGAGTTTAATCTTAAATTGTAATTTAACAAAAATAGGTTAAAAAAGCTACACATAGAAAGCATGAAGATGATCCAATTTGGCCTATTCACTAATATTCCATTTTAATTCAGTGTGACATATATGAAAATAAAACATGTGACCCTGGACCACAAAACCAATCATAAGTAGCACAGGTATATTTATAGCAATAGCCAACAATACATTGTATGGGTCAATATGATTGATTTTTCTTTGATGCCAAAAATAGGATGTTAAAGGTGCAGTCCATAAATTTTGCCTCTTTGTCACTATCTCTGTTTGAAAACCTGCAATTGCAGCTGTTGGTGGAATTATCTTCCTTGCGTGGGTTGTGCGCCGGTGTTGTGCCAAATTCTGCACCCCTGTCAGATTATGCACCCCCTCATTGAAGTCGCTACCTGATTTCCTAATCCTAACCCCACCCCTAATCCTAACCCCTCCCCCAACCCAACCCAACCCTAAACCTACCAGTACTAGGGGGTGCATAATCTGGCAGGGGTGCAGAATTCGGCACAACAGCGGCAGATCCTTTTCCTATTTAGCACCCAAACTCTGGAATAATCTACCTAACACTGTTCGGGAGGCAGACACACTCTGTCAGTTTAAATCTAGATTAAAGACCCATCTCTATAACCTGGCATACACATATCACACTTACACATTTCTATTACTCAAATCCGTTAAAGGATTGTTAGGCTGCATTAATTAGGTCAACCGGAACTGGGAACACTTCCAATAACACACGATGTAGCCTACTTGTTACATCGTAAAAGAATGGCATCTACGCTAATATTAGTCTGTTTCTTTCTTATTCCGAGGTCACCGTAGCCACCAGATCCAGTCCGGAAACAGTCAGTGGTGTGACAGCACACATTAAGGTCTCAATTCATTCACCCCTGCCGTTGCTTGTGTCTGGGGTGGGATTTGCAAAAAACAAACAGCCTTCCACGGCGGCGGACGAAAAAGCAGTCTTTACAGCGTCTTTTGAGAGCGGTTTTAGTCTTCATGCCAGCGGATGGTTGAATACACAGGAGCTGCTGGCATCGTCCAAGCAGCGGTGAGAGGAATGCCGTGTGTGGCTCGTACACTGGGTCGACGACGACTCTGAATCGCGCTGCTGCAGCTGTGATGGTGCAGAGGCATCTATGTGCACCTACTGCAGGTAAGGAGCCGAAAGCTGCACATCTGGCAACTTGGGCCAACTGCCGAGTCAAGGAACCAACAAGACAGGAGAGCAGCGGTGCCATGGTGTCAACACCTAGTGGGAAAAAAACATACAACATTCAGGTGTATGAACTTAGTCCCCTAATTCAGATGTTTAAACGTATTTGTAGTAGCTGGACATATTAATTAATTTAAACATGTATAAATTGAGAATCCAAAATCATTCAAACTATGCTAAAGTGTTGACAAAAATGTATGTATATATATATTTCCCCCCTCATACCAGACACGCATTATATGCAGCACCCATATTGTTTTCAGGTGTTGCTCGTTGCTTATATGATCTACTTAAAATTACGGAAATTAAATAACATATTATAATAATAATATAATATATGATAAATATCATAGTTGTGACACAGAAAACAATTACCTTCTGGATGAATGCTATATAAACACAAATAACAAGTAATATCTAGTATAACTGACAGTGAATTGACAGCTATAAAACCTTAAAAATGTACAGAAAAACTAAATATAGTAGTACTGTTTCTTTAAAATACATATCTTATATATATATATATTCCTAGTTTAATCTATATAACGTACAGTACTGAATTATAGTCTGAGGACTCGTGCATTTTTAGAGAAAATTTTGACATAATAAATAAACATTTAAACGTTAAGAACATTCTGGTGCTCATTCCTGATTAATCTGTTATTTTAAAAACTAATAGCAGGTACATATTGTGTCCCATGTCTAAGGTATCAGTGCTAGATCACAACTAGCATTCACTTTCAGACATTTTAGTTCGTATTCAGAGCTGCATTCTACAATACAATACAAACTAATCTCATTTTCCACACAAATGAACTTAGTGAGAGTCTATGTAGAAAGCTTCATTACAACATATTTGGCATAAAAATACAAACTTCATGCTTATTGTAGCGCCAGCTAACTGTAAGCTGTACAAATTCTCTTCATCGGCATATGAATGTGTTCGTTTCAACACTATGATTACAGTCAGACATACAGACAAAAAATGCATCGCATACCTGTCTAAAAATCCCAAAAGAAACGCGTAAAGAAGCAAATGTTTTAATCCAAAACCATCAATTTGAAGGCAACATGGAACGGCGGAAACTCTACGACTTCCTGTGACGCAATGACTTTGAGGAAAGTCATAACGCACGCATTGCGCAGTACAATCACTGAAACCTTTACTCAAACCTGTGTATATAGATGGCTGTTCTGTTACATAAAATAACGAATGGGTGTTTTAAATAAAGTTGCATAATCTACCGTAAATCTAAAATGTTTGAACGCACAAATAAAGGAAATATAAATGAATTCAGTTGTTCTCGACCAGCAGAGACGCGTTTTCATTCACACACACAGCAAAGCAAAGGCTGTTGGGTAATAATCAGAGGGATGAGTCTGGGAACTGTAGTCTGTGTGGATTACCAGAAACAGTAGAGCATGCACTATTACGTTGTTCTGCTTATGATAATGAAAGAGCATTTCTGTTGGAAGAATTGGTTTTGTGGTCCAGGGTCACATATATGAAAATATATGAAACAGATGTAAATAATAATTCTCAAAATCTTCAAGCATCTTTTCAGATGAGGATGTTTATTCATTAGAAACGCTATGATCTTTACATGCTCAGTACACCATTCAAGTGATTCTCATGTCTTCTTTGAGAAACAGTCAGTGGTGTGACAGCACACATTAAGGTCTCAATTCATTCACCCCTGCCGTTGCTTGTGTCTGGGGTGGGATTTGCAAAAAACAAACAGCCTTCCACGGCGGCGGACGAAAAAGCAGTCTTTACAGCGTCTTTTGAGAGCGGTTTTAGTCTTCATGCCAGCGGATGGTTGAATACACAGGAGCTGCTGGCATCGTCCAAGCAGCGGTGAGAGATCTCAATTTTCACTGATGGTTCCAAAGATCACGAGACAGGTCGAGCATCAGCAGCTGTATTTGTCCCAACTTATCAAATCAAGATTGGTAAAAGAGTTTCTGATCAAGTAGGAGTTTACACTACAGAGATGGTAGCAATATTATTAACTATCGGGTGGATGGAGGATACTCGGCCAATGAATGCGGTGATATGTTCAGATTCATTCTCTGCATTATCAAGTCTTATCAGTGGAAGATCTTCAAGACAAGACATTTTGTATGAAATTCTTTTATGTATGTATAGAGTGAATAAGATAGGAATTAAGATATGTTTCCTGTGGGTTCCAGCACACGTGGGAGTGGATGGAAATGAGGTTGCGGATCATTTAGCAAAACAGGCACTGAAATGATCACATATAGAAATTATTATACCACTAAGCAAAGAAGAAGTTAAGGCTAAAATTAGAACAGCAATAAAAATGAGATGGCAAGAAGTTTGGAATAAGGAGGAGAGAGGAAGACATCTTTATCATATTCAAAATCAAGTTGGGGTTGAAAGAGTTAATTTTGGTAGTAGAAGAGAAGATACAATTATTACCAGACTTCGCATTGGCCATACTGCTTTAAATTCTTCTCTATATAAAATGAATAAGCATGAGTCTGGGAACTGTAGTCTGTGTGGATTACCAGAAACAGTAGAGCATGCACTATTACATTGTTCTGCTTATGATAATGAAAGAGCATTTCTGTTGGAAGAATGAAAAGAAATAGGGATAGAAAATATTACAATTAAAACTTTGTTGAATAATGGCTTGAATCATTATAAAATATATAATGCTTTAATGACATTCTTTTAAAAAATAGATGTTTAACAGGTTCTAGAAGGGTTTCATTTTTAATTTAAATTGTTTCTATTATTATTATTATTATTATTATATATATATTTTTTTATTTTGTTCTTCCTATTCCATCAATGGTCCACACTCCAGCCCAGTAGGTGGCGGGAATGCACCTATCGTTTGTTTGCCAACCGCCATAAAACTCCAAAAGAAGAAGAAGAAGAATCAGAGGTGCAGATAAGCAATCATTAAAGTGTATATATATTGGACTCATGAGATCAGTTCTTGATTATGGATGTATTGTGTATGAATCTGCATCTGCAACGTTATTAAAGAAACTAGATATTATGCAAGCTAAAGCACTAAGATTGGTTCTAGGAGCAGTTAAGACGACACCAATTGCAGCAATACAGGTGGAGTCCTCAGAAATGCCTCTACATTTAAGAAGAGAAAAACTAGCCATGGCATATTGGATTAATCTTCAGGGCCAAAGAGAGGATCATCCTGTAAGAGAAGTACTTAATGAAAGTTGGGAAACAGTAAATAAACCAGGTAAAGGATTTGCATGGAAAATTAAGAAATTGATCAATGAAACTGGAATAGAATCAAATAAATTTGCATCGGTAATAGTAACTCCTCCAATAGCACCTTGGTTATTAGAACAACCGGAAGTTGACTTAAATGTACATAAAGAAATTAAGGGAATGGGGGAGGGGTTTAATTTAAAAGCATATGTCAAAGAATATATAAAAAGTATGCATTATTCATTTCTCCAAATTTACACAGATGGATCAAAGAACATAGAAACTGGAAGGACAGGTGCTGCATTTTGCATTCCAGAATTTCAGGTTAGGAAGGCTGGAAGAATTACGGATGGTACTTCTGTATATACAGCAGAGATGGTAGCTATCCTTATGGCATTAGAGTGGGTATATGAAGTAAGACCGGATAAAGTAATAATATGCTCTGACTCAATGGCAGCTCTTATGAGTTTACAATCATGGCAATCAAATAGAAAAGACATTTTAATAGAAATCATGATTACACTATATAGTATTAAACAGATAGGGATAATTACTCGGTTTATATGGGTACCTGCACATGTGGGAATTCAAGGTAATGAAGAGGTAGATAAAATGGCTAAAGAATCCTTAAATATGGATGATCCAAGTATAAATATTGCACTCAGCAGAATAGAAGGGAAACAGTTAATATTAAATGCATGCAATATTGTATGGCAGATATACTGGGACTCATGTCAAACAGGTAGGCATTATCACAAAGTACAAAGGAGTATAAAGAGAAGAAAAATCATTCATAACATAAGTAGAAGGGAACAAGTCATTTTAACACATATACGAACAGGACACTCAAATCTTAACCAAACACTATACATTATAGGGAAACATAATACTGGTCTATGTAATGTTTGTTTAACAGAGGAATCAGTGGAACACGTTATGATGGTATGTACAGCATATGAAAGAGAAAGAGATCGACTTAAAGATTAATTACAATCCTTAGGAGTTAAAGAATTTTCATTAAGTAGTATTCTGAATGATGGTCCAAATGCAGGAAAACAAATAAGTGCAGTCATGAGATTTCTTAAGAATTGTGGAATAATGAACAGAATTTAAGATTTAGGTGAGTACATTCTCTTCACACTCCATCACAGTAGGTGGCGGTATGCACCTATGAAGTTGGTTCGCAACCCGCCATAAAACCAAAAGAAGAAGAAGAAGAAGACGAATCAGAGGGCAAACATGGCAGCCTTCCTTCCAAGGGTCTTGTCCTTTGGTAAAAATACGAAGGCTTTACTCAATGGCTTGAGGTTATCTGCAGCTCCAGCCCAGCAATACAGCGTCCAGGTTTCTAATTATGGAGAAAAAATTACTCACACGGGACAGGTGAGGCACAGTTTAATGCACGTCTGTTTATCACTATTAGCAGTTGTTGTGAGAATGGACACTCGGGTATTGTGGAATTAATCCGAATTAATAGCAGTACTGCAGTAATTTGTGCATTTCGAGGCAACTGAGGGATGCAGGTCAGTGTCACGATGGACTGGGGTGAATCCGTTTACTGCTTGTTTTTGTTGCAGGTCTATGAGGAAAATGATGTGAGAAGAGCTAGGTTCATCGGTAGGCAAAAAGAGGTAAAGGGAACTATTTACCGGATCTCTCAATTATTTCAACATTGTGTTACTCTAAAGATAACCAGTGTTGGGCTAGTTACTCTAACCATGTAATATATTACTCATTACTAGTTACTCCTTTCAAAAGTAATATGATAACTTATTACTTTCTGGCAACAGTATTTAGTTACACTTACATTACTTTTCTTTCACGCCCCATAGAATTTGTGTATCTTCCCCATAAAATTATTCTGAAATGTTACTAACAATATATATCTACCTCATCATTTGGCCAAAATCCACATTGGATCGCAGTCAGATGTTATTACAAACACTCAATGGTGATTAATAGTAACATGTAAGTAAAAGTGTTGTAATAATCTCATTAATTGTCTTGTTTAGCTTTGAAGCTAATTGTAGCTCTAATTTCTCTCTTACCCATATGTGATTATATACCATGATGTATTTTATCAAAATAAATCATATAAGTTCATAAGAAAATGTTTCGTTGTCTACAAAGATACAATTTATATCGGGATCAGAGGTATGTGGGTGGACAAGCCATGTAATGCCAGAGTAAAGTAGTGCCACAACTTATACATCAGTGTTCAGATCATCTTTTCTCCTGACAAAATCAATGTAATGACTATATGTCCATCCACTGAATGTAAGCTTTTCCATATTCCAAGCTTGCCTGCTGCACTGGTGACTTCATGTGCCTGTGCAAGTTGTGAAAATTATGAAAAGTTACTGCAAAAAGTAATATTACTGTAACTAGTTACTGCCCAACAGTGAAGATAACATTATATAAACTAATATAAAATATTACCATAGTTTGGTCACTCATGGGTCTTGTAATCTTTGATACAGGTGAATGAGAACTTTGCAATCAACTTGGTTGCTGAGGAAACAGTGACACACATAGAGTCCAGAGTGGTGTCCTGTGATGGAGGCGGAGGGGCTCTCGGCCACCCCAAAGTTTACATCAACTTGGTAAACAAGTCTTTTATTTAAGAACAGTTTCTAAAAGTGAATGCATGAGAAAGTTACCTTATAACACAGCAGCAGAAATTCATAATAAGGAAAATATTTCCCATTGGGTTTTAATTCCAGGAAGCATCCCAAATAAATTAACAAAGTTTTCGAAAATAATGACGATCATAAATGGTAAAACTGTTTTGTTGAAGTGACCATCGAATCCCCAAACCCTTCTACACTGCCTAAAGCAGGGGCGTCCAATCATACTTCTAAAAGGCAAACGTCCTGCAGAGTTTAGCTTCAGCTCCAACACACTTGCATGGAAGTTTCTAGTGAATCTGAAGACCTCGATTAGCTGCTTGAGGTGTGTTTAATTACGGTTGGAGCTAAACTCTGCAGGACAGTCAGTGGCCCTCCAGGAACAGGTTTGGACACCCCTGGCATAAAGCATGGTTCAACAACCTCTTGACAGTTTTGGAGTGCTTGATTAAGTTGAACTAATCGAATGTGTAGAAAATGTCTGTTTACTTGTTGCAAGAAACATTAC